TGTCTGCTACAAATCTTGTAATCGAAATTTAATACACTTCTACTTATCCTATCGATCTGAAATTTTGCACACTTGTGTAAAGTTGGAGACAATGCATGAATCAAATGTCAAAATAAATGATTTTAAAAATGAAAAAAAATTTCAATATTAAAAAAATTGAAAAAATAATTTTGTCAGCTACAAATCTTATAACTGATATTTGACAAACTTTTACCTGTCTAATTGATCTGAAATTTTGCACGCTTGTGTGAAGTCAGAGGCAATGCATGAATCAATTAACAGAATAAATAATTTTGAAAAAAATTATATATTAAAAAATTTATATATAGTAAAAAAATTGAAAAATAGATTTTTTTATTTTCGAAAATTAGATGAAAAATTCATTGTACATCTGTAAGATTGGAGGTACTGGATTCTTTGGAAGTGTTGTCTTTAAAAAGTAATTTTTAAATGTATATTATTTAATTTTGAACTTCAGAGTGCAATAATACTGGATAGAAGCTACCAAGGAAATGTCTATTATGCCTCTTTAATAAATACAGTCAGTGGATATAGAAATATCATATCAATGAAGGAAAAACTCATAAAAATCACAGAAAATATCATGTATTCTACATCTACAAGGGAAGAGGAAGACTTCGAAGTAGTGTTAGTAATGGATGAGTACACTCTGCATGCTTCAAACATTTTAAAAGTTTTATTTCAAGTGTTCCTAATTACCCCATTTGCAGGGGTAATTAGGGAGGCTTTTATTTGCGTCAGGCACCTTTTGAATAGCATATAGAATTTTTCGGAGATGACATACAATAGCCCTCACAAAGGCCTCTAAAATGAGCCCAAACTTATTGATGAAGTGTTTCACGGTAAGAAGTTATTAACAAAAAATGCTCAAAACTGTCCTTTATTACGCTGTTTGATGGTACTGCACCTTCCTCAATTTTTTATGAATGATGAATTACATTCTAATTTCATACTTGCTAGCTGAAATAAATAATTTTGTACATATTTATTTTCACCTTGTTATCATCACTAGAGAAATTTATCTGTGACAACAATGAGGAATATATTTGTCCTTTGTACAACCTTAACAGGAGCAGGTTGTAGTAATGTAATTAAGACACATCTTCGCCTTGTTAACCAGGACCAAGTGACTAACCTTTGGTCTGGTTAAGCCAGTATAGCGGATAATTATACATGACAGTTACACCTGATACTGATTTATTAAAAATACCTCCAGATTAAAACCTCTAAACTATGGCCAGGTGAGCCTCACACCAGTCTACTCCATAGATGTCTACAAATTTGTGTGTTAGAAACTTTCTTCTGAACTTATAGGGATTACATGAGCATGTATCTACAATACCTATCATGTCAAGACATTTACAAGCAGACTTACACTGGGTAGCCACCCACATACCCACCTGGGCAGGATTTTCAACCTAAAAACCCGAGTTTTTTAATAAAGCCATGGAGGAAAAGTGGGTTTTAAAGAAGACATAGGAATGCATCAAATTTAATTTTTTAATTTTGAACTTCAAAGTGTGATAATACTGGATAGAAGCTACCATGGAAATGTCTTTTAGGCTTCTATAGTAAATACAGTCATCCTATATAAGCATGGTGCAAGCCTCTAAAGAAACTGACATTGATTAGTTCTAAAATATAACAATGACAAATTTTGTTTGCATCTTGGTTAGGGGAATATACTTCAGAGGTTTTTTACCTATTAGATATCAGCCTACCTAAACTGTTGGTATAATATAAATTTCAACAATGGTAATAATTTAATTTACAAACTATTTACTCACTTTGAAATAAGAAACACATTATTTGAAAAAGAAGAAAGTCCAATTCTTAGTGTTTTGAGAAAAACTGAAAATTAGGCTTTGAAGAGGCTTGCAATACCTGAGTTTTGAGAAGTAAGACAACAGCAAAGAACTGGTATTGTGTTAATTTATTCAATACATATTTTTACCATATGTTTGTTGTCTCTGACAGAGATATGTCACTGTTTTAAATAGTGTTACATCATGTTAATGATCATCACTAACTTACTGTTTAAAGGAGGGACAATTATTTCATCAAAAGTTATGGCAAATGTAATGGTAGAGGTTGATACTTTCCAGCATCAAATTTCAGATAAAAATGGAATAGTATGTTTAAAAAGTATAAATAACTATTTTATCCATTTTGCATAAGTTTTAAAATAAAATCATGGGCTTTTCAATAAATACCAGGTGACTTGAGCTATTTAAAAAAACATGCATTTATTGCAACCCTTTTAGCAAGGATACAGCATGAAGGAATTACAAGTAGATGAAATATTTATTTCCTCTAAGCTGAGTCATCTTGCTTTTAAAATTATTGGTTTCGAACTTCTTGGGAGAGAAGATTTTTTTGCAATTTTGACTTATTGATTAGTTCCATGTAAGTAGCAGGCATTTATGATAGTAAAAGTCTCAAAGTTAGGTACAAATGTACAAGTGCTAAGTCTAACTCTTCAAAAGTTACTAATATGTACCTTTATAACTAATATCTAAAATCTCTCAGCTGTTGACCTTGATCATCAATTCTTGTTTCTGTCATGAAGTTTATGTAGGAAGCCTTAACATCCAGTTTATCTTAATTTTTGTAACTAAACTTGTTTTGCTACTAGTGAGTGCCTAGGCATTATCAATATTCTGTGTGGGATGGTTTGTATAACTTGTTCTTCCGTAACTCATTGGCTTTGACTATTGGGCTTCACCAAGCTTAGAGGTTAATTGGCAACCTTGTATGAGGTATATTTGGTCATTAATGCTCTGGCTGTGGTGTGTTATCCAGACTAACAAGTGTATCTAATTCGGAACACAGGTCCGCCAGGAACAATTCTTTTATATCAACTTATGATATATTCATTTTGTTCTTAAGAATGTTAATATTTTCTGTCAACATTCCTTTCTGAATATAATTTCGTTAGATTATATTCAGTTATAGTTTAGTCATTAGGTTACAAGTTGGCTACTGTCTTGCATACTGTGCAAGCTTAGCAGGAACTGCTGCATGTCTTGAGACCATATATAACAGAAATAAAAGAAAAAAAAACTTTTAAAAACCACGTTTTCTTAATGGACAAAAAAGAAACATTAACTCTTCAGTGAGTTGTCCTAAATTTTATTCTTGACCTAAAGTGAAGTCTAAAGTTTATTTTTTCAAATCTTATGCTGAGAAAACACAAAAAACATGGGGCGGGCACTGTGAAGATCTAAATATCATATATTATGAGAAGTTACAGACTAAGTATTATGAATAGAACTTGGGTAATGGAAGTGTCTTAAAGCCCGCCCAACGTTTTTTGTGTTTTCTCAGCATAAGATTTGATAAAATAAACTATAAACTTCATTTTAGGCCAAGAATAAAATGTAGCATAACTAACTGAAAAAGTTAATGTTTCTTTTTTTGTCCATTACAAAAACGTGGTTTTTAAAAGTTTTTTATTTGTTTTATTTCATTGTTTTTAGTTTTGTAACCACCAGAAAAACATGGTCTTTAAAAATGGTCTTATATATTTATTTTCTACTTTTTAGTTTAGCAATTTTAGCAATTCAAATCAGTTTCCAGGGTTGGCAACTCTGGATGTTCGACAAAAAACTCTATTCCCAACCACATATTTCTAGGTTTTTTTTTCTTATTTTTGCTTGTTACTTCTGATGATCAAATCTTGAATTGTTAGGCAGCATAAGCATGCATGCCAAATTTCAAGTTTCTAGGATCTTCAGAAGTGCTCTAAATTAAGGTTTGAATTTTTTATGACATACAGACAGACGGACACAAAGCGAAGAGAAGAAAAACGTGGTAAAAAACATTGAGCTTTGTAAAATTGGATTAATAATGCATGGATTGAATGAAAAACCAGCTACCTATTATAGCTTCTGGCACACTCATAATTTTTTGTTGCAGAAAGTCATAGCCTCACTGTTGAGTCATGGGCATGACATCACTGACAACCTCTGCACACCTGACCAACAGGGCTACTCTGCTCTTCATTATGCTGTTTTGTACAAGGATCTTGCAATGGTGAAGAAACTTCTCATGCATGCAGGTAATTGAGTTATTATTTATCTATTTATTATTATTTGTGTAAAAATTGAACTGAATATAGTAGAGGGAGAACCTTAAGTCCCACAAGATTCTGAAGCATAAGTAGAAAATAGAAGTTTGATCCAGCCTGTACAAAACGCTGGCTCTGATGGTATGCCTAGTAGTACTTGAGTAGCTTGTGGGCAATTAATTGATGATGTCTCGGGGTTCTTTTATTTCTTTATGAAGTAAACTATTTTTTTTTTCAGTCATAGGATGACCAATGCTTTGGTTGAAATTCTTAATTCCAATATGAAAATATACAGCCTATTTTATAGCTGCTTACCTTTATGCTATGTAGTTGGTGGTAAATGATGGTACTCCTATGCTTATGCCGCCTGTAACTGCTCTAGATCAAACTGAAATAATTCTGCTTCACTCATGAATTCTTTTCCTTTAATATTAAAGTTGCTAGTATCACATATATTGGATTTTTCATTATGAATTAAAAATATAATGGTCAGTGATACTGTTTTGGAGAAGAATTTCTAAGGTAAATATTTCCAGTCCATTTTACTAATAATCGAACTTGCCAATTTAAATTTATCCTTCTAATTGGGACTTGCATCACCATTTGCTTGTTTTTGTTATTTTGCAGCTGTTCTTCAGAGATTCTACTTCTGTTCTAAACCTTCTGGACGATATTCTTCAGCATACTTTAGCTCCTTGGAATGCCCATGCAGTTTTTCATTCTAGTAACATTGTCCCTGACCATGCTACCACTGAGCTCTTAGTAGTGGCTTAGTGCTTTCTCAACCGAGTGCAAGTTACAGATGATCAGGTCAAGATGTTTGTTGTTGGGAGTTCCTTGCACTTCCTTTCAATGTCCTTGTGTTGGAGATTTATGTACATTTGGGGTATCAATCAACGCATTAAATATTAACAGGATAAAACTAAACCTTGTAGAGGTGGAACTACCTAGTTCTGTTTCATTTCTTCTTTGTTGGGCAATACTTATAAATTCTAATGCTTCTATTCCCGCCCATTGAATTTTATTTTGTATTGATGAATAATTTTTTATTTTTGTTGTTGAAGTCATTATTGTGTAATGTTCATTGCAGATAAAAGGTGCATAAACATGGAGAGTCATGATCGATCGACCGCTCTGCTGCTTCTCTGTAGAAACTGCTCAGCCTCAGACCTGGAGGTGACTAGGATGGGTCATGGAATGTTTCATATGCTTTTAATGCAGCCTGCCTACAACTAAACTTGAAACAGACCAAACTCTGAAGATGATTTTCATGTGCATGATCATGATTATAAGAAGTAAAGATTTGCTGAATTTTTATAAAAACTTTGCATTGTGGTACAGTGGTACAGTCTGCATATCAGTATTCACACCTGTAGGGTACTATAGTCAGGTCTCTACAGCATCTCTATGATGTCCAAAACTTTGTCAAAAACTGATTTTTTACTCCTAATTTTGCTCTTAAGTTGCTGAATTCATTTTTTCTGTACAAGAAAAGTATTTTATTATCGTTCTGTCCTGATACTTCATCTTAAATTCACTCCAGTAAATTTTTATTTAATCAGGAAGAAATATTGACAAGCCTTCTACAAGCTGGGGCAAATCCCAACCTGCCTGAAAAAGATCCATTCTCCCTGCCCTTATTGTGTGGTATGTCATCTTAATAATTGCTCCAGCTTTAGTTATTAATGCATTTAAGGAGTTTTTTCATTATATTATATACAATCTATATAAGAAATTCTTGATGATTTGAACACGGTGAAAACCGTGCTAAAATCTGCCTAAAGGTCGGATTAATGAGAACAAAATTAGGTAGAGTCTCATTTGAACACGCGACTTATTTCTATTGCTTGAACAGGGCAGAAAACTTTTTTGAAAAATCATTCAATTATGCTCGGCTTGTGCCCCTTTTTTAGGACAAATAAGAATTAGAGCAGAACTTGGCGCTCGACAGTGAAAACAGCACATTATTAGATGCCAATTTTCCAGCCTTGGAGCGACGCTGGTGGCGAGGAGCTGAGCTAATGCTGGACGCAGGGGCGGACGCCACAGCCACGGATTTTGAGCACAATGAGATTCCAGCCACATTCTTTGCTCGGGTGCGTGCAGCTTTTGATTCAGTTAAATTTATACGTCTCCAATTGGGGCTGTGCAATAAACTGTCCACGATTGTTACAAAAATTTTAGTGCACCCATCTATGAGTATGAATAATGTTTCATTCAGTGTTGTAGATTTTGTGATTTAAAGTTGCTACTTACTTCCCCGTTTGCGTTTGACCTGTTACAGAACTCAACGACCCTTATATCTATTACAAATTCACAAGTAATTGCCTATATTTCTATCGTTGTCGGGATCTTCTTAAAATCGTTTCGTCTAAGATTTGTATCTGTGATTTTAATTCAGATGCTAAGGAAACAATGTCAACTTTGCTGTGAGCTTAGTTGAGCTTGAGCATTTTATTTGGAATATTTTTGTATTTTCAGGATAATGTTGAAATACTGAGGAACCTTTTGAGTAGAGGATGTCACTGCCCTTACCTCAATGGTTGGATAGTTAATAGAAGCCTAACAGATGCCCAGTTGAAGACCATATTGCCGTACATATTGTCTCACCCTTGGAGTTATGAGTGAGTAATATAGCTGCAGAAGATCTAACAAAACCAGCTTATGTGAAAAATTTTAATTGCTCTATACCTCACGTATTTGGATTAGCGAGGAATAAGGCCATATTCCGAAAGAAATAAATTCTTCACTAATCAAATGCTATGTTAGATTCGATTTTCCATAACGGGTCCTATTTCTGGTACCTAGGCTGCATGTTGTGCTGATTGATGCTGTCTCAGTATCGTACCACGAGAGCGCTCTGTACATTCTGGAGCATTACGTGTTTGACGACATGCATAAATTTCTGCGCATACTCGTGCGCATCTTTAGACTTGACAACGGAATCAACTGGGCAGACAAGAACAAGTAAGAATTGTTAAATAGATCCTGCATCTACTTATAGCAAAGTTTCTTTGTTGGCATTTTCTGAGCTTGCATGAAGACAATTAACTTCTACAATTAATTTTGTTGAGAAATTCTGCATTTAGAATTAATTACACTCGTTTCTTTTAAGGGGACCGGCTACGTAAAATTTTCAATTTTGGCGCTTTTCGGTTTTTGTGCTCATCTGAAAGCTGGAATTCTGCTCTTTCCAATGGTACCACTGCCATCGCTGTACGCCAATATTTACGTTCATGACGTCTCTTTAAAGGGAAGCGGGTGGGAGAGTTCTTTGAGTAATTAGATATAAAGTAATTAGCTGTAAAATCAATGGGACAATTGGCCAACCAAGAAACCTCATGAAAGCACATGAAAATGTTAGCAAGTGTGGGACCAAGGGGAAGGCCCATTCCTAAATCATAAACTTGTTTATAAAGTTTATCAGCGAAAATGAAAAAAGGTCATGACTGATAGTTCCAGAAACTTTTTGAAAAGGCTGTGGTTAAGAGCAATCACCAGATCATTCGCATCCTTAAACAAAGAGTTGAGGCAGATTTCAATAGTTTCTGTAAGAGGAATATTAGTGAACGAATTTTCAACATCAAACAATGCTATAGTCAGGTGCTGAACATTGGTAAAACCTTTCGAACGGTCGACAAATGAGTAGGTATTATAAACAGTAAACTGGTTAGTAGTTGGACAATTCAAAATGGAAACCAAAAATTTAGCTAGGCTAAGCTCGGGGTATTATACGCAGCAAAAATAGGCCGGAATTGAAATTTCAAAGCAAAATCTGGCTTATGAATTTTTGGAAGGCCTTACAATATGCCAGGGCACGAACCAGAAACGTGAAGTTTCAAAAAAGTTTCAGAGGCAAGGGTGGAGGAATCTTTAAGTTTATGAATGAAGGTATTAATTTGATCCTCAATTTTCAAAATGGCTTTAGAGATAGGGCTAGTGATTTCCACGAATTTTGAAGAATCAGAGATGAGAGCAAGCATACTGCTGGTGTATCGGTTACGGTGAAACAGAACCACGCCGCGACCTTTATCAGGCTTGCATATAACCAGATCCTTATTCTTGGCTAGGTCCCTCAAAAGACAGAAGTCCCGAGGTTGAAAAAGTGACATGAAAATTTTGTATGATTTGAAATTGTAGAAATGACGATATGCTAAGCTTTGAAGATTACCAAGAAATTCTGGGTGGTTAGAAGTGGCCACATTTTTCAGGTTCATAGCGAGACGTTCAAATGCTGGAACTTGTTTGTTAGAATTTGTTTCTGATTAGAGAATAAATTTGACTTTGATTAACTTTAAAAATTCAAGTATTTATCAAAATTAGACAAAAGTAAGTATCATTTATGTTATAATGAATGAGTCATGTCCTTTCATTTGAAAATAATTTTTCATTACAAATCGAAATATTCATTAGGAAAACTTTGGGGTTAGGCAATTTTTGCAAAACCTTAAAAATACTGTAAACTACTGTCAAACAAGGGTAATAAGGGATGGTTTTGAGCATTTTTCATGAATAACTTCTTACCATTAAGCACATCATATACAAGTTTGGGCTCATTGGAAAGACTTTGCAAGGGCTACCATAAGGCATCTCCAAAAAATTCCATATGCTATTTTTAATGTGCCAAATGCAAAATAAAAGCATCCCAAATTATTACTGGGAATGGGGTAATATGGGGCACTTGCAATAAAACTTAATTTTAAAACGTTTGAAGCATGCAAAGTGTACTCATTCATTACCAATAGTACTCTGAAGTCCTCCTCTTTCATTGTAGATGATGTAGATGTAGAATAAATGACATTTTCTGTGTTTTTTACTTGTTTATCTTTTATTGATATGATTTTCTGTGTTTTTTGCTTGTTTATCCTTTATTGATATGATATCACCATATTCATTCATTACTGTATTATTGATGTGATATTACTGTATCCATAAACATGCCATTGAGCATTTACAACGACCTTGTCCACTGCAAGCTTCATATCAGCAGATGTTTAGCATTTCTTCTGTATCTGCAAGCTTACAGGACAGCTTGTAGTTTCACACCATTTTAATTGGGTCAAGTGAATCCACTTTAACAAACAATGATCATAAAAAACATACCTGAAACAGAAAGGAATATTTTAGTAACAACCATTATAATTTTTGGAGAAATAAATTATAGTTAAGGTCAGGGTTGGCAATGATTAAATCAAAATGATTAAATCATGTGATTAAATCACTTGATTTTTTTATGAAAAAATTCTTGTTTTTTTTTATTTTTTTCGATTTTTTGATTTATTTGATTTTTTCATATATTTAAATATATTGAGTTGCAGTCTTTAATTTATATTGAGGTATTGTTATTCTTTGATTAGTATAAATGTACTATGAATGACAAATTGGTATATAAACTTGTTGCCTTTAGTGTGTATTAGGTTCTTTACAAAGCTAATGAATAGACTTATCAATAATTGTTTACCCAAAAATCCCTAAGTGGTAAACACCACCTTGGCCTGTTGGCCATTATTGAAGGCAGTAAGTGCCCTTTTTAGCCATCCATTATGATCCACATACTGTTATTGTTAGTAGGCTAATTGCAACATAAAAAATGACACTTCAAAAAGACAAAAAATCAGAAAAAAAATAAAATAAATAAAAAAATCATGAAAAAATAAAAAAATCATTGATTTTTGATTTTTTTTATTTTTTTTAAATCAAAAAAAAATCGCCAACCCTGATTAAGGTTAATTTGGTTAATTATTTTTCATTTTATGTTGCCCGGTGCATAATTCTATCTGTCATTCTTTGCACAATTTTATGATGACCAATGATGCACTAAGTTTTTGTTTAATGAAATTTTTTGCTGAGCAAGGTTAATTTAATAAAAAAATTTTTGTTGTTAATTGATTTTTTGTTATTTTTTATGTCAGTTGTATTTTAAAATACCAACAAACCTTAATTTTTATTACAACTCTTTACCTACACCATTATTGAACTAATTCAGCTACCACTGCAAAATTCAATTGGATTATGAGTTAATCCCCCCGCGGTTGACCCAGGAACAATATTCAATACGGTATTTGTTTTTTAACCACCATAATATGCATATCTTGAAGCATTTAGTCAGCCATCGTTATCTAGAAATGGCATCCATGTAGCATTACTGATTGAATAATGAGACATTGATTATCATCTTCTAATTTGATTGCATCAATTGTAATTCACTACAATCTAAATAGTTTCTTCACTGTCAGCCACATTGACTTGAATTGTTATCATGTAGAAGAATAATTGACATCCACCCTCCATCACAATCATGACTTGGTGTCATTAGGGCAATTAATTGGTAATCTTGTCAAATGTTGCCATATTTGGAAGTCTGGCTAGGCCTAATGCTATTACATTCTAGAGATAAAGCAAAGCAAGTACATAGTGATTTTCACCAACATTTTGCAGAAAACTGATGAGAAAACACTTTAAATGAAGTTATTTACTATGTAATTTATGTGGTTTTTATGCTGTCTCCAAAAATTTATTTCCAACATGAGTTGATGAGATTTGCCTTTATTCCAATTGCCTTTAAAAGCAGCAGAGGCTGAAATTCAAGCTGTGTGAGAAAATGGAATTTCTACTTTTTCCAGACAGATGACTGTCAGTGTAGTTGATATCCATGTGAGTGATGCATGTGTTAATTCTGCTCCATTTGCAAAGCAATTTGCTAATAATCTCCATTGCTACTTGTTAATATACAAATTACATTAAATTACACATTAACCACTATCATGGTATTCATTTTCCACATCAACTTCATAGCATTGTTGTACATATGCTATTTTTGCCATATTGATCACAGATTGCCTTCCATGGAGAAGTGTAATTGATGACTCTGCTGTCCACCTTGTTTGTATGTAAGCCTCTTCAAGCAAACAGATTTGAGGGCTTGCCTTGCTGAGAGTCCTTGGAACCTCCAGTTCATAATTTTAGGAAAAAAGTGAACAACACATATTGCTGTAAAATTCCTGTACATAAAAATGAACTATAATTTTGAGTTTTATTTCAAGTATTTTTAATTTTTTTATACTTTGTCTTTATTGCTATTATTTTTATTTTTTATTATGTCTCCAGTACAGGAAAATTTTACTCACTGTTATCAGTAGTACTCACTGCACCTTCCCTCATTTTTTATGAATGGTGAATTATATTCTAATTTCATCAGACTTCTACTTTCATATGCTGAAATAAATTATTTTGTACATACTTATTTTTACCTTTTATCATTAGAGAAATTTAGCTGTGAGTACATTGAGGAATATATTTGTCCTTTTAAAGCCTTTAACAGAAGCAGGTCGAACTAAGGTAATTAGACATGTCTGTTCAACTTGTCATAGCATGTTAACCAGGTCCAAGTGACTAACCTTTGGTCTGGTTAAGCCAGTATAGCAGATAATTAGACAGGACAGGTTGCATCTGATACTGATTTATACAAAAGACCTTTAGATTAAGACTTCTTATTTAAAGCCAGGTGAGCCTCACACCAGTCTACTCTATAGATATTCGTGAGTTTGTGTGTTGGAAACTTTCTGCAGAACTGTATAGGGATTACATGGGCATGTATCTACAATGCTTATCATGTCAAGATATTTACAAGCAGAGTTACACTGGGTAGCCGCCCATATACCCACCTGGGCAGGAGTTTCACATACCCACCTGGAAGCAAAACCTCCCCTTACAAGATGCAAACAAGGCATGAACTAACAGACCATTGTGAACGAATGAGGCTCGAGAGATGCCAGCATATTCTGGATCTCATTGAGGATGGCATGCTGCCCAACTTGGTGTTCAGTGACGAGAAAAAATTAGACATTGAACAGAGCATTAACCGCCAAAATGACAGAGTTTGGAGTCGGGATGGATCTGTGGCAACCAGAACAGCAACACGACGTCAAAATCCCATGTCCGTGATGGTTTGGGCCGTGGTAACCGCC